CGGCCTCGCGTTAGCGATAAAATTACGTTCGCAGCTAGCTGAGCCGAACACGCAGTCGTAGCGGCGCAGCCACTCCTTCTCACCAAAAGCAGGTTTATGGAAGCTTCGAGCAAGCACCGGACGACGCGGCCTCCAGGAACACGAAGTCATCATCGTCCATGCCTCGTTTCGACAGATCCACCATAGTCCTCGCCAGGATGTGCGGAGCGAGAAAACATTGCAGGCTCACTGCATCTCACTGCTTTCTGATCCAGGGCACAGTTGGCCGGTTTTGAAGTGGGAGAAGTTGATCCCCGGCCTCGCAGTGTTACTGCGCCCACGTTGAGTCTTGCACGACGAGCGGCCGGCTTCATCTTGGTCGGCCCCATTGTATTCACCTGCCAGACGAGAGTGCCTTTCTTCTCATAAAAGACAAGAAGCAAGAGAAGCATCGGCAGAATCAGCCGTCTACTAGCAACTCGCCGATGTGGCCGTCTGTAGCAGGGTCTGCGCGTTGCCGAGCAGGCTCTGCGCGAGAGCCTGTGAGGACATAATGTGGGTCCAAACGCGACGGACAAAGCGACGGAGCTCGAACGGGCCTTGGCGCCGTCCTTTTCCACATGGTTTAACCTGCGAGGGCACAAGGCGTGCAAGAGAAGGATTTCTCACATGAAAGGGTGCCGCGCCTGAAGTTGAAGCTTATCAGTGAAGTATTGAGGCGCAAGAAATGCGCCAAGAATATGGCACCAACCACTTCGATGCCATACCTGACAACCACAGTTGTCCCCGGTCCCAAGTCAGCACGAATCTAGCCGGCGCGACATTCCTCTGTTGGCAAATTCCACAGCAGCCTCCTTCGAGTCTTCTGCCCATGGCCTGACTCCGACAGGCCGTTGACAGGCCAGAAACGCTTCAGCTTCAGTTACACTACGCTAGCTCCGGCCGTGGCGTGGCATGGCTACTTCCTCTTCAAATCGCACCAGGGCCGCTGCATTCCAACATGGCTTGCCCGTGGTGACCTGAAACGGTTTATTTTCCTTGCTCTCCGCACTCCAATGACTCCAATTTGCTTGCTGAAGAAGCTGAGCATTCTGCAGATCCAAGACCTGTATGGAATTCATGCGCAGTGCCCGCAGCGGAATGCCGTTGCCTCGATGCCGAGACAGTGCCTCTTAGCAGAAGCAGCGTCCGAGAGACCCCAAGCAGAGGCAGAGGCAGAATTCGAGATTCAGGTACTTCTTCTTCATTGCCTTCACCGCTGCATCACTACATCATCAAAAGTCCATACATTTGACCCTGCTCCAGCCTTGATGAGTTTCCAGCCAAACGCGGCGTTTAGTCGGTTGCCCCGCAAGTCAAGATGCGTAATGTTATCGACCTTTGAACGAACAGCCCGAAGGAGAAGCACCATGTCATAGGGGAGTTGAGTGGCATGGGACATGGAAGTATATTGTTCTTCATATCTGTTTCTGCCTCTCTTCATCTCTCTGCTTTCGTCTCCTCCACTCCTCGTGATCGTAGGATTTTTCGGCTCCAGCCCACACAGGAGCCTCACTGCCCAAAGTTGCGGCGTGTTTGCTCACATTTGACCTTGAGGAGCTGCCACGCTTCCTTCGCCGAGTTCGTTTAATTCCTGCGGGCCTGTTCTTCCCCTCTCCTATCCGACCAACGAAGCGCTGTGGACCATGTTGCCCTGGCCCACAGCCTGCACTTCACGAGTTGGGCAACTGGTCACTCGTGCCGAATCGGCGCCAAGCCCGAGCGATTTCCCAAGTTTCTGGCTGTATCCACGTGCATGTGCGGATCTTCACATAAGCCGGCTTCAAGAACTGTTTGCAACCCAAGTCTGAGATGCGAGCCGAAAGAACAAGAGATTCAATCGCGTGCTCACCTGACTGTCAGAAGCGGTCTGCAAACCGGGAATGAAACACTTGCCAAGAGGCCATCGGGATGAGACGAAGTGAAATATATCTGAGGTCCATTTCAAAACTACGATGACTGCCCCGCAAGAGGGCACTGGACTCAATGCATCAACATGTGTCAATCATGTCCATTGCATCTAACGAAACTACTGGTCGACCTCTGCTAGCCTTCCAACATATCTCGTCAGCAGAAATATATGGGCAGTGGAAAGGACAACAAAATGAGGACGCTAAAGGAAACAATGACAGTTCAACATCGAAGCCAGAGGAAGGTAGATCAATCCGGATCCTGTGACATTGGCTCACGGTCAGGAAAGCTGGAAGGCCGTACGTGCGCTCTACAACTGGATGACAGCAGTTACTTCTGCAGCCGCCCACCACAAAGCATTCAAGGCTTCCTGTCCTAGCTGAACCACCACTGGTCTTCCGTCGCAGGCAAGGCGCTCAATCCCATGCCTGCATAAACTCAGGGAGGAACAGCTGCGACAACTTTGCGACAAGCTCAGTGCCCGTCCTTCTCGACCTGGTCCCGGCTTGTGGTTGCCTGTAAGGCACTCTATTCAATCATCCAGATAGGTAACAGACACATCGCAATTTCCAACCTCTCAGGTCAATTTTCTCAAATTGCATTGGCCTTCGCGGGCGAACGTGGATAAATTAGTTGATGGGGAGACCAAGACCGACATCAGCTCCCTGCGTGAAACCGAAGGACAGGTTCAGTCCTGAAGACCTTCGGGAGGGATCACAAAGCCCAGCAAGACTTAATTACTTGCAAAGTTGATCTCCGCAACTCAGCTGTCGGCATCTCGGCTGGATGCGAGGCAGCAGTGGATGGGCCTTCCATGCATCGCAGCACAGTTTTGCGGGCTGGGATTTTCGACATCCTTTTTCTTGGCAGCGGTGATTGGAATGGATTGAATACTTGCAGGAAGCATCGGGTCTCGAGCTCGTCCTAAAATGTTGGTCTTCCGCCCGTCGGCAGACGGAGATGTTTGGATGCCATCAGACACGCAGGCCCGATGCGGGCACTGTATGTATCAGTGCCTCACCCGTCCAGCCATCGACGACAATATTCACCCTGGTCTTCAAAAAGAGCTCATGGACTCGCCTTCTCCAGATCGGCTCCTAAATGCTCCACTACCGTCTCTGCCCTTCTAGTCCAACTCCCCTGTCATGTAGGTTTTGGTCTGTGTCACTCAACATACCTGTGACTTGCGAAGCTGATCGAGTGAGGAGTTGATCTAGCTACAAGGCTGTGGGCAATAGATCAGAGAGAAATGAGGGCGAGAAATGATGCATCTGCCAGTACTCGGATCTTCGGGAGCTTCGTCAGTCGGCTTGCTTTCACAAGCTCCTGTGCCAAGTTATGCACCCTCTGCAGTTGTGACAAGCTGCCTTGCAGGAACTTCAACAACCTCTCATACCAGAGGATGGCTTTGGGAGGGAACACGTGAAGTGAAGTGCAAGCAAAGCCTTTGCACCTAAGATACCTCCGCTAGCTTTTCCCCTTGTTGGTCTTTCGGCTGTTGAGCCACCGAAGTTGAAATATTTACGATGTACCTAGCCTCAGGAAGCATTGGGAGCAAGCACACTGTTGAAGAATCTCGCGCCGCCACTGGTGTGGCCATCTTACAATACTTGCGATCTGGGGGCTCTTTAGCATTTATTCTCGGATGCAACCGATGCTGTCTCTCTGACCAAACACCGTAAACCTCACAAGGAAAGTGATGCATGGCATCTAGTGTCTTTGCAAAGATCCTGAACCTGATGCACACTGGATGCGCAAGGTTGCCTCGATAAGAGGACTTGTCTGACATAAAGCCTCGATGTTGCACACTCGCAGATGCACTGCTCAAGAGACACGAACTGAGGATCTCGCCGGAGTCTTGAAGCTCGTTCCTGCCCCTGATCCCATACAGGCGCTGTTCACAAGACAGCTTGATGATTCAATTGAGCAACTGAAGCAATAACTAGGGTTTGCTGCTGAGAATTCATCCCTCGCCTCCGTCGTTGGGATGGCCTCGAGCAACACTGCGCTGAAGCTCACACCAAAGTCTGAGGTGGCAATCGCAGTTTTCGAGGCAAGCGCATGAACTCGGCGTCATCCTGGAGCGTTTTGCTGTTGACTAAATGGACGGTGTTCAAATTCACTGTTTGCAGCGCACTCAAACCAGAGAGTCTATCCTCTGCCTGATTCATGGCAGGCAGAGTATTGCAGTGCGAGCTACCTCCTGCCGCTGTTGCAGCTGGTTCTACTGCTCATTGAGGAGATCGAGTCTTCCTATGGTTGCATCACCACTAGTCTTCGGCGTTTCCTGTCGCGTCGAACATGCGGACAACATGTCATGTTCTTCAGCATTGCCATGGACACGTTGCAAGACTGCAGATTCTGGGCAGGATGGACGACGTGCAATCTGTAACTGAGAACAGTATAGGACAATCGGGATGAGAACACCATGCACAAGTGGGTCTGCTCCGACCATCTTTTAACGTGCGGGCGGGTGAGCTGAAACGAGAAACCATCTAGCCCCAGCAGCTGCCGAACTTCTTTGGCTCGCAGCTACACTGGAAGCAACCGCAGGATTCCGCTGACAGCGAGAAATCCGCCGCATACCTGAATCACTGAAGAGCCATGTCTAAATACAGCATCATGATGACAAAATGGCAAGATGCAACTTCCCCAAACCCTCAAAGCTGAACCTTCAGTGCCTCCCTGAGGATGCAAGAACCTGTTTAGCTCATCAGCGACTGGTCTGAATTTGAACCATACTTGAGAATGAGGGCGCTTTGAAGTGCTTGAATGTACTATCGGGATCTGCGGATGGGACAAAGCTTCCCAAGGCCGCTGTGCTGGGCCTTCGGGTGTCGCTGCTGGAGGCTGGCTGCGGCCACGATGCCACAAGCCCGGACACTGCAAGACGTTACAGCAATGCAGCTCAGGCACCAAGTACAAGAAGAGAACGCTCGCTAGCAGCATCGGGCGCCATCCCATCTGCTTGATGGCGGCAGCATCGCTCTCCAAACCCAGTCCGACCTGAAATGCAGCTGCGCACGTACAACGCGGAGAGAATTAAAGAGAGCGGGAGAGACGAGAGAGTTAAAAAGGAATAGGCCAGCGAGAGTGAGAGACAGATGGAAAGCAAGACTCCAAGAGGACAGTTTAAAGAAGGACAGAGGAAGGCCAGGGGGGGCCCAGCGGGGGGCCCAGCAAGGCGGAAGGCGTCGGGACCCGTTCTCTCCAGGCGACCATGGCCAGTGCAGTGCACCAGGAACCGACCTCTGTCGCTTTCGCAGCAAGTTGAGGAGGCAAAGGCAGATATGAAGACAGAACCTGAGCTGTGCAGACTTCCGCTTCGAAGCTTGATGCCCAGATGTGCCCCAGATCTGCCGGGACGCACACACGCCAAAGAAGGCAAATGCGAACCAAGGAGTTTGAATACTCGTGGATCCACCTTCAGCCAGCCTGAATCATTGCGGTCACATGAAGCATTTTGACAACCGCCCGCGATGCTCCGAAAACAAGCGTGAAGAATTCCTTGATAACGTCGGTCCTGCTGACGATAAAAAGGTAGGGAGCCAGCAACAGCACCCGCACCTGAGCATGTTGCAGACTGTGCGGAATGAAGCAGTAAAGTAAAGCATGGCAGAGCTGTGATCGATTCAAGGGGCCAATTTGGTCAGCAAGGCCGCAGAAGCCACACTGGGGGACATAGCATGGCCAGCGGCCACAACGCCGGCGACCTCGTAGACGGTGGCACCTGCCAACACTGTGACGAGAATCCGGGAGCATGAGGGAGACCACTCCGGCCTGTGTAGATCCCCATAGCCTTTGCAGATAATGGTCCGGGAAGAATCGGCCACATGATCGGATACAGGAACATAGAGGTGATCCCAAATACCATAACAGTTGCCAAGGCAACTGAGACTTTTGAGCCGGACGCCCCTTCCTTCTCGACGACTGGCGCTGCCGCCATGACCGCCGAAACGCCACAAATCGATGCACCCGTGGCAACAAGCAAAGCCACAGATCTGTCCACCCGCAGCACTTCGCCAGCCATCACGCCCACAGCCTGACTCACGTTCTGAGCAAACTCCCGAAGAGGAACACGCTCTGACCTTTCAGACGCTTAAGTCACCCGCAAGCGTTGAGAACACCATAGCCAGGGCTGAGCAAAAACTTCCCGGGCCCATTGTCAAGATCTGCTGCACCGATACGTTGAAACCGTACCTCAGATCCTGATGTGCTTCGCGACATACAGACGAATTGACATGAGTTTACGCTTGCTCTGCTTGATTCTGCTTGCAGTGCAGCTTCAAGATGATTCCAAGGCGTAGCAATCGAGCTTTGGCAAAGGCCACGCCTCAAGATACGTGCTGGGCCGGTCCACGGGAGTCTGAAACTGTGGACCGGGCCCGTCAGGGTCATTTACTCAAACATTCTGCAATAGTCTGCCCCACTAGCCTTCATAGAATCCGTTTCTGTGGTCTGCTTCCGGACGACAGAACAACTGGTGCCGTGGTTGAGTTCTGCTTATTGTAACCATTTTCTATCCTGGCGACTTCACCAAGCCAACACTTAAACCGCTTAAGGTCCTGCCCGTCGTTGAGCACGTTGGGTTGGATGCAGCTGAAACTAATTGGGCGGACTTGGCCAAAAGGGCAGAATTCCGGCCTGGTTTCAGCATCGGCCGCACCTCTCGAGTCAAAGAGTTGCTCTTGGCGAGAACGGTATTTCCCAGCAGCAGTCCTTTCGCCGATAGGCCGTGCAGAGTGCCACAGCAAATGCAATTGACCAGGCAACACTGCATGAAGAAAACTAGACTCGCTTTCCTGTCAAGGTGGCGTAAAGCAGTGGGCTGAAGGCACCACCGAAAAAATGCAACGATGCGACCCTTCTGGACACAGCCGCCATCGAAGCCTGGTGTCACCAGCAGGGGAGGGAAGGCTACCCAGGCGAACTCGTCGTGAACTTATCAGACCCGGAAAGCCGAAGGGGCAAAGCCAAGCAAAAGAAGCCATGCAGATCACATCAAAACAAGGTCTAGTCTGGAACCCAAAACCAAACCGAATGCCGCATGCACGTGCGAGAACGAACTACAGCGAAAACGAAACCTGTGTCTCCGCTCTGAAAAGCTCCACGCCCCATGAACGTTTGGGTAATCTCGGGTCCCCCGACCAGGGTCCCCGGAAGGTAACCCTGTCAAACGCTCGGTTGGCCCGTCGCCCCGTGCTCGCTCGCCCCAGCCCCGCCCTCTGCGTCCCCCTATGGGAGTGACCCGACCAAACAACCAAACGACCAAGGATGGAGTGCTGGGCATTGATGATGATGATCATGAACCATGATCATGATGACGATGATGATGGTGATGATGATGGTGATGCTGCAGATGATGATCTATCCAACCACCATAACAATGACATCAATGTGAATCAATGTGCACCCCTTTGGAATTCAAATGTCCGCAATGCAGCTACTTACTATCGCTCGATGCAGCCATGTATCGACGAAAGCTGTCCCCGGAAGCCTTTCCCGAATGAAGTCAACCGTGCTTCGTCCCTGGCCTGCACGGAAGCACGGCACAAAGCAGAGGCGCTCGGCACTCGCGGGCACCTGCCAAAGCCGTTCGTCCGCGTCCTCCGCGTATTCCGCGTCCTGGTGCCCTCGCCTCAAGGCCGAGGCCTGAGCCAAGGCCTGGCGCTTTGGAAAGAAACACCGAAGGACGGAAAGCACATGGACTGGAAGGACTTTCCCGAAACGCTGTTTAACACGCCGGGAACACCGAGAAAGTTGCATGGCCATGCCACCACAGACACAGTCAGCAGCAGCCCGCTTCCTCTAGGAGCCATGCAGCACGAAGGGTGCCGCGGGTTTGGCACACAGCCTCTACTGTTCCTTTCTGTGGTGCCAATCGATAGCGGATGCCGTTGCACCGAAGCTTCACGACTCCATGAATTTTGAGGTAGCTATCTTCGAAATCACGACGGCTGCGGGCGGTTGCGGCTGCAGCGCTCTGGGCCAGTAGTTCAGCATCGTCCAGGCGACAAGCCGCTACTGAGACAAGCCCTTCGCTGCTCACCCACTCTTTTGTCAGAGATGGGTCATGGACGTGCTTCTCAGAAGCGTCTGCCCAGCATTGTTAGCTGTGAGGGGCACCTGTGCTGCATGTCTCGTAGGGTGCGAACATCAGCCTGAGTCGATTGCACTAGCAACAGGACCTTGTCCACTTCTGCAACGGCACCAGAGGAGTCGTAGATGGAAGCCCGCATGTAGATAGGTTCCTGTCCGGCTCCGTCGGGCGAGGAGTAAGACGCGTTATGGAGCCATTCCTCCCGGTCCTCCCTATCGAGGGAGTCGGAAGATGGTGGGCACGTTTGGGCAGGGCTGTTGGTTTGTGCGATGTACGCCAAACATGCCTATGCCAGAGCCATGAAACAGCATCACCGTCGCCTTCCCAGCCTGTGCTGCTACCTTGAGCCCGACAGCTTGACTCAGTTGCAGCCCCAACTGCAACACCTGCACAGGCGCGATCGGGAAGTACAGGACATCGCGAGATGGCGGGATTGAAGGCCTCCAGTGCCCTCTCAGGTCCCGAACAGCATTGGCCGGACTCCTCCGTGCCTCACGAACTCCACACATTAGCGCATTAGCGTTACAGCTTTGTGACCAAGTGCATCGGGAGACATCCTGCCTCCACTCGTACGGCCCGCTGCCATAGCAAGAAAAGAAGTCAGGCCTTCGCAGATGCTGAAGGATCCGTGTAGAGTGTGAGAGTGCTTGGTGCAGAGAAGTCTGAGGCAGAGTCGCTGCCAGCGTTCGGCAGCACGCAGGCGATCCTCACTCCACCCAGCACCGAAGTGTGGAAAGGTAGAGGCTGGCGAAGGCGTGCCTGTGCGGAGCCGCCCTGCGCTTGAGCCTTTCAACTCGAACTCGACTAGATGCTCGCAGCCGGCAGCTTTCGTGTTCTGCACTCCTCGGCAAGAACTGGCCCAGCGAAGCCACGCAGGAAATGTTCCAAGCCACGGAGGTGGGCCTCGACACATCACCGAGTTTTGTCGTCAGGTGTGAAGGGCAAGCAAAGCTCAGCTGGTGACGGGGTTGTAGTGCAACAGCCGGTAAATGCCGGACAATCGCCGCGTGATCTCTGAACTGCGGACCTCTGCGTGCAGCAAGCAGAGTAGCTTCCACGTCACTGTCACTAGACTCACTAGATCATCCAGCATCAGATTCGAAAGGCTCGAGCGCAAGAGTCATGTAGGATCCTCGCCTCAAACCGGCATATCCCAAACAAAGAGAGAGGTTCAAATCCAAGCCGAAATGCCGGCGCTACAAAAGCAATCAACATCGTAAGACGGCACCTGGATTGCGGCGGTGGCGAAATCCAGGCCGCGAAAGGCCGTCAGGAAGCCAGTGACCTCAGTGGATGTCACTGGCACCCTCCTGTACGCTCCTACCCAGTCATATTGAAGGAGTCACTGTTGAATCTGCTTTGCGGTCCCGAGGAAGCGAAAACATTCAAGGACCGGGCACCACCCATGGGCCGCAAGGCTTGCAGAAATTGCGCCTGGGAGAATGTTAAATTTGCAGGGGAGGAAGCACCAGCAGCGCCATGGAAACAACTGCAACAATCAAAAATCGCAGTTCAATCCTACTTGGCGTACTCGGATGCTGCACAGCTGAGCTCTTCCGAGAGATAGAAGCTATGTCCCATGGCCGATGCCGACAACTGGAGTCGAGGCTAAACATTTAGTTCTGCTACGACGAGAGAGAGCAAGAGGGCATTGCGGAAACTGCAAGATGCGGGGCGACGCCGACCAATGGAGCCCCCGGGACACATCTCTGACTCAAGGGTGCTATCCTTTCCAGACTCGGCACTAGATCTCTACAAAATGTCTGCAACAAAGCTTCTGTCCCGCAAGTCCGGAACCATGACTCGAGTCGGAAATTGACCGCTTGTGCTGCGAGCACTTCAGGGCTCGTTCTAGAATACCACATGTCTGACATTGTTGTATCTCGCTATGGTAGCTCTTTCGAGCAGGCGCCAGCAAGTAGCGAGAAATAATACAGTCGCTGAGGGCAAAACGAGGCGAGCTGGCGTCAATTCAGGCTCCTTCCTTTGGTGGCGCCCGCCGAGACAGAATCACAGTGCACACAAGTAATGTTCACCTCTGGGGCTGCTACGCAGGATTCTTGCTGCCTTGATTGATGGTGGCCTTAAGCCTCAGGCTAGTCCGAAACTTGCAACTTCAGCAAGGTTCCCGCAGAGCAGGCCGTAAGCTAGAAGTCTTCTCTGACTGTCAAGTTCTTTCAGCGACAGGATGCATTAGAACCACCTTTTCGACTCTAGCACCTCCTCTTTCACTCTAGGTGAGAGAGGGGAGGAAGAAGGTGGAGAGCCTCAAGCAAGACGGAACCGATGTTGGAGACGACGCCCAGACAGATTGGAACCGGAGCTTAAGAGACCCGAATCGCACTTGACAGGAGGATGTTGCAAGACTGCTCAGCTAGCTGGACGCTCTGCAACAAGAACAGCAGGTGTCCAACTGACAGCCATGCTGCTCCGACTGCGGTTTCCACGACAGTGAAGCGGCTTCTGGCCACGGGCATCAGCGTTAGGGGCGGCATTCTTACTAAAGCAGCATGAGTGTGCACAGCAACAGGGAATCGCGTGGAACAATCAAGAATCAACAACATCTGTCGCAGCCCTCAGGGCAAACTGCGCCAGTGGCACAGTGTAAACAGCATCTCAGCCACACAGCCACAGACTGAAGGACACAAGCAAACACTACGAATAGCAGGCACTGGGATTCCAGCAGAGTGCCGTTCTCTTCAATCGCAGAAAGCAGCCAAGCCACTTGATCCGCGAGCACCTGCTCTGTTCATTTCCGGGCTCCAAAACGTGCCGCTTCATCAGCTGTAAGCAGCAAAGAAGATTTCACAGTCGAGGCATGCTTCCAACTGGAAACAGCTGAAGCACCATGTAAGGTCACGATGAGAAAGCCCAAGAACTGTCAGCGAAACTGGAGATCTACTGTGTAAATCAGGTATGCTAGATTGTAAACGCATGGGAACCCGGTGCTCTAGGCTACATGCCACCTACTCGTATCACAACAGCGAAGGGGGCTCCGACTAAGCCTTAGGATGGGGAGAAGGATGTTCTAAGGATTCTAAGGCACGGAGTGGGTGGGAATCTGTGACCCGTACTAAATCAAAGAGACGGACCCAATGCAAGGACGACTGGAGAAGCAGCGAATTTTATTGAAACCAGGTGTTCGGCTCGAAAAATGACAAAAGCGGATCCCAGGAAGTTGCAACAGCATGTCGAAGTTCAAGATGCCCAGAAGCTTGTCCTTGAATTGCCATGACTCCTTTGGCATGTTGGCCAATGCTCCTTCGTCGATGCATCGTTTTGGGGTTGCCTGGATTTTGGCTGCACCAAGGAGAAGCCTAAAGCCCAAGCCTGGCCAAGCAAGAGCAAGTGCGGGGTGCAACACAGACGGAGGCCTTTTCCCAAGCGGGATCCCCGGTGTTTTACAGGCTTCTTCGTGCGAGCCTGAAGCCCTAGTACAAAGCCACGAAGCCTTCCGTGTTGAAGGAGCCGTGGGCCGCCTCGCTTCCCTGTCGGTGCAGCTATCTCGCTGCCTTAGCTATTTATGGGCAGCGATGGCAGCGACTCTGCCGGCCTTTTTCGGCGGCTCCTCGCGTTGCTGCAAAGTGAGCACGAAGGCAGCCCGCAGTACTGACCGCTCGGCTTCAAGGATCTTCAAGGCTTGGCTTTGCTCGGGCTAGCTGCATCGAGTGCCCCGTTGGAGGACCAAAACTGACACCCCGCGACTTCGATGCCGAGGTGTCCGGTGCGAGCGTTGCCGCCGCTGCCAGCAAAGGTGAAAGATGGTGAAAGCTTCAGCTGAGGAGGTTCCTGAGGTTGAGCTGCTCGCGCAGCAGCTGTCGCATCCAGCGTACCACCGAGCTGCAGCGCTCCGGCCGGTCGTTGCGGGCGAAAGTGTTCATCACCATCCCTTCCTCTCGGTGACTTGCTCTGTGCCTCGGAGACGCCCTGACAAGCCCAGAACTGGGGCCCCGACCCTCCACAGCCGAGAAGGCTCTGCACCTCTGTAGTGCCTGTCGCTCCAGCGCCTCGAACTCTCTTGGAAGCGATGCCGCTTTGCCGACTTTGCTTCTGTGTCAAGGTCTGAGGGTTGTGCACCAAGGTTTGCGCAACTGTGTAGAGCCCTTCCAGGTGTTCAACCTTCCAGTGCAGAGAGGACATGCAGATCTCAGTCGGTGCTTTTCGGGAGCCTCGTGCTTCACCAGCCATCCGATCTCTGCCAGGGCTTCGATGACAGACACTCGCTTAATGCGTGCCTTCTCCAAGGCCTGGCAACAGCGTCTTGCTGGCACTAAGAAAGAGAAGGAAGGCAGCTCGAACCGAAAAAGACTCGTCCGAGCTTCTGCTCTTCGTCAAAGTTTGCAAGATTCGTCTAGTGATCAAGCAGTGATCATGCATGAAGCAGTGACGATAGTGAAGCAGAGTGGACTGGTCTGCTCAGATCTGCCTGACATCGAAGCTGGCTCTGTGGCTTTCAAATTGGCTTGCACAGAGATATGCTGCAGGTTGGAGTGTACACAATTACGACCTCAAGCCGCCGAACGATCCGAGACATCAGCTGGAGCGACGACAAGCAAGGCTGTCGGTCGTCTCTTGCCACCTCCAGAAAGGACCGGCGACTGAAAAGTTACCGAGGCTCGCGGCCCCTTCACCATGCACTCCTGGACAAGAGCCAAAGAGCACTTGAAGAAGACGAGCACACCAATCAAGGATTTTCAAGAGTGAGACGTCACCACCACTCCCGGTCACGGTGACGAGATCATCCAAGATCACGAGCAAGCCATCCGAACCGGCACGAAGTCAATACCCAAGTATTCCACGGAAAGGGTAACACAAACACCTTGGCAAGTCGACCTAGATGTCGGTACCAAAGCCCAACCCCTCCAATCCGAACCAACACACTGCAGAGAAGAGCAGTGTCAACCTTCCTGAGCGAAGACGATGATTGCCTCTCCCATTTGCGACGCGAGCTCAAACACGGGAAGCTCTCTGATTCTGGGGTGGCTGGCCTGCGCATGCCTGCTCGCTGTAAATACAGATGTGCAGTTAACATCCTCTAGCATCTCAGCGACATGGCTCCGTTTCCGATCATATAGATCATAGGACACATTGGGGCTGATGGAGGGGATGATGAAGACATGTGAAGACTGTGTCGCGAGCCGATGATGTTAATCAAAGCCCTTCAACTTCCTTCATGCAGCACGGCCACATGCGACTGCTCTCAATGTAGCAGTGCAGTCGGACTAGGTCACAGAAGGCCCCCAAGCCTTTGACAAATAAGTGGCAAAGCATGATGCCGTCTGATCGTGTCAGTATGTTGACAGACCCGTGTAGCTGAATTTACGTCCAGTTCCTTCGTTCGTCAGAGTTGCACACCAAGCCACGAAACACCCGCCTCGTGTTGTCGAAGAAGTTGAGACAGGTTGATTTTCTCGAATTTGTCGAGGAAGTTCTCGACCCCTCCAACCTGGCTGCCGCACACAAATCAGGATCTAACGGAAACGGTTGGTCTCGGAGGCGAACAGGACCGGCATCATCATTAATTACAAGTATTTGAGTTCTGTTGCGGTCCGACGTAGGCCATGAAGTTTGCCATGCTCGCCTCTCTACTCTGTACTTTGGATCCTGTTGAAAGAAAAAGAACTCAACACAATTCAGAAAGTCACGTCCTGCTGTGGTCCCGCTCCCTAAACTCTCCACCTCAAGACAAGCCTGACCTCGGCCCCTGAATTTCAAGGAAGACACATGCACGGATTTGTATTTCAAGAGCCACTTCTGCAGGTAGCTGAAGTTGCTGAAAACAAAGGCTGCTTAGAGGCCTAAACCCTACATCCGGGGTCCTGTCAGAGGCACCCTGGGCGTTTGCTATCTGCGACTAGGAGCGGAGCAGGGCGCGCATCCGTCTCCAGCGAGTCGACCCTCCTGGACCCTTTTCCAAAGCTCTTGTTGTTGATAGAGGTGCATCTCTTTCGATCCCCTGTCCTAGCTATCGAAAACACGACATCGTGCTGTGACAAATTCCGACAGGACTCGTTGACCATGAGACCTCCGAGGCCTGCGAGTTTGCTCGTCTTCTTCCTATGCGGTCCGTTTCATCCCTGGCTCCGGCGAACCTCCTTGAAGCGCTTCACGAGACGCTGGCGCTGCCTGTGAAGCGCATTCATTTTAACATATTTTAACACTTCCGCTGACCAGACGGGCTGTGCTTGGGGCCTGAGTGTAAGATCGTCTCCTCGGCGCTTCCTGCGCCATTGGCTGCTTCGCAGAGATGTCCAAATGCAAGCAAGTCAAATGATGAGAGACAAGAGAAAGCCACCTTTCTTCCAGATGCGAGTGCAACAAATCCTTCCGGCCGCATGCAAAGCTTTCTCTTCAGTGCCGCATCACCTAGCATCGATCCTACCAGCGCATGTCCTCCAGCTTCTCTGCGTCGTGAACCGCCAGCCACCAGTCCTGCTTGCAAGGCAACTAACCGCCGGCCACAAAAAGCATCCGAAGTAGATTTGTCCTTCGAAGTAAGCTCGTTGAGCTTGCGCCGTATCACACCCAAACCTGACTTTAACTTTGTTTGGCACACACCTTTGTACCTAAGTTCCGGCAAAGTGGCAATGCAAGTCCCCCTTGAGCTTTGCGAGATCCACCCCCTTGAGCGCGTGCCAGAACGCATGGAAGCCACCCGCCTGCTGTGTCATGACATGCCAGGTCTCCAGAGCTGGAAGCTGATACGAGAACTTTTCAGCCTCACCTTGTGCAGCGACACTAAACAACAATCGCAAGAACCACGAGCTGAGCATGCAAGACTAGGTCATGACAGCTTGCCTGCACCACTCGCTCTACAAACTCGTGCAGCATGGCGTTGCGAATGCGGCCTCCAAGGCAGGGTGGTCTAGGACAGGAACGCGGCAACCCTTGCAGTTCTCTACCAGGTCCGTTCCGATGCGGCCTGCATCCTCTCCATGGCCAAAGCAGAAGCGCGGCCTTGCCAAGCACCGGAACTTCGCGATACTTCGCGGTTGCTTTTTATGTTGGCTGAGGTTCAGGCGACTCTTCGGTGCCATCCATGCCATCCAGAGGGCGTGCGAGCCTTAGCAATGCTTTCTTGGGCTTTCCCCCCAAGCTGGCGCGACCGAGCTTCACTCCCAGCTCGTCGCAAGAGGCCGACCATGTGAAGGAAGTCCTTGGCCTGATGTCCAGTCTCCGACCCGCACCGTCGCTGCCTGCCTGATCTACATTCCGAGGCCGCGGCAGCGACTCCTTCCAAACTGTCAAGAAACCTGAGAAAAACATGCTGAGAATTCGCGAAAGGAGCAGAGGAGCAGCCCTGAGGCATGCGCAAACGCGGGCCGCCGTTTGCGGAAAGCAAAGCAATCACCTGCAAGCAGTGGATGTGCCACGAGGGAAAGCTTTGAACAGTTTGAGAACTTATTTTGGGGCTAAATAGCGGGCACGCTAAAATTAAAACATGTATGTATATATATATATACATACACACACACAAACATCATACAGAATCATACAAGTCGCTACCAGAATCCAGTCCTGGCAGTCCCTGGTGCTGGACATGGACCGTACTGGACGCTCTCCGGCTGCCTTCTTCCAGGTCTCGATTTGGGCTTCTGATGGCCCTCCTTGGCAATCGAAGCGAGGAGGGTTTCAGCACTTTTCGCACGTGGCACTACTAGCCTTGGGATACGACCATCCTCCAGCTTAAATGACCTAGCCAATGAGATTGAGCACAACAAGCACGTAGCGCTGTTTGCTACGCAAACACCACAAGGATGTTGCTTTTGTGTAAGTCCTGCTTCGTGGAGAACGTCGAGACCTCAAAGGCTCATGTGGGCTCCGGCGCTCTTGTTTCATGCTCTGCGAAGTCATGAAAGACAACCTGCACTTTGCGGCTGCCCAAGATCAACCATGACTGTCGACACACGACCTCTCAGCAAGCCACACTCCTCGAAGTGCTTGATGTTGGTTGCCTTCATACAAGAACTGTCGTTCGGTAAGCATGTTACATGCAAAGCAGTGAAAGCAAAAGCAGAACACACCCTGATTTATTCCACTCGAGTACTAGTACGGTGTGCTCGTTATCAACAAGTAACAAGAATTGTGCAAACCGGATGTCGCAGCAGTGAACAGAGACCAGACGAAGAATGACACACGGCTGAATCCGGCTTGTGCGCCGGAGCTCTGCTTCGGAACGAGCCGGATCAAACTTCATCACGCAGTCTCGCAATGCTCAACTATTATCGAAGTCTCTACAATCGTCCTTTGCAAACTTCGCAAGGGGAACCTCTACGCGTTGGCATATGTTGTCTGGTCCTCCGAAGCTGTTCGCCTGCTGCGGACAATGCTGAAACACGTATCGCGACGAGAGAACGTTCTTGGGGGCCCTGGCCAACGAAACCAAGTTCTCCCAGGGCCTGGGAAAGAAGCATCTGACTGAAAAGGGCGCTTCAGGGCCTTTTCCGAGGCCGCGACTCGAACTCCGGGTCCAAGTTCACGGGCTCAGCCTCGGGAGCCGCAGGCAGCTGGCCTGGAACCGAGACACGCAAGCGGCAGACAGACTGGGTCTGGATTTCTTCGGAAGCCGCCCGGGGAGGAATCCCCCGCATGTTCCCACATTCCGCAGCGCACCCCCGCCCCACCTTCCAGACTCTCCAGGTCCGGCACATCGCTCTCGAGTGGTGCTGGCACTTCGCTCTTGGGCTTCAGAAGCCTCTCCAGGCAAACGCAGAACATTCGGAGCGGCATCGGTCGCCATGTCAGGTCAGCCTGGCAGCACCAAGAAATTCCACACCTCGCTCCAGTCGTTCCAAACTGTCTGCCTTGGTCGGCAGCACTGCTACGCAAGAGTCAAAAGAGCAGTCCAGAGACCTCCACAAGACTCACAAAAGCACCAAGATGCCTTGTGGAAAAGATGCATTAACCTGATGATCCCTTCCAGTCCAGTTCCTTTGGCAATCTGTAGCAGCTCCTGAAATCGAGGCTCACGTCAGGCAGCAGCTCTCCATCAACAAGTTGCGAGGATTTGCCTGGAGCATGTGTTGGATCGGAGCGGCTTGTTCTATCCTGGCACAAGGGCTACGGTCGTGCAAAATGTCTGCGCTTGTCATGCTTCCATACCCTAGACAGCTCAGTCTGAACGGCGCAATCAGCCAGGCCCGCGTAGCTGGCCCAGGCAAGATGCAAACCAGAGCTTCGCTTGCCCCACCCACACTGGATCCTGCAAGCATAGAGCCCAGGAACTGAGCATCGGGACCAACGCGTTCAGACAGGAACGGGGAACAGGCAGGCCTGTCTCGATGGCTCCAACTGTCGAAGAGACCGCATCGGTAACCGTATCTTCCAGCACCTCGCCTGCAGAAAATCGTCTTGGTATGCCTGCTACATCTGCTGACAGAGTGGGGAAGGGTGTTCAGCACATGTGCAATGCAAGGCATTCCTCAAGGACTCGCTCTCCGAGGCTGCATCGATTCGCTGCATCGGATAGATCGAGTCCAATAGCTTTCAACATTCCGGAGGGCGGGGACAGCTATGCCAGGTCCTGAGGCTGCTGCGCTCTGGATTCGCCAGGCGGGTGAAGTTCAAGCACGAGACCTCTGTCGACTCCAACTCGAAGGGAGCTGACAGGGGCGCCGCTCAGCAGCCGACGACGCTTATCAGGTCCGTTTTCCCGACCATATCCACAAATGTCTGCTCAAGATGTGCTTCCAGCAGGCCGTCTGGGCTGATTTTGCACCCGTCCTCCAAGGAACCCAGACGTCGAGAAAGCTGCGTAAGCCAGCTGCCTACCTGCAGCTGCAGATCTCGTGGTTGACTCAGTGCCCCAAAGCTGGCCTTGACCAGGCTTGGCTGCCGTAGCCGGCCGAGGCCACAATTGTTCACCTGAAGCTTAGTGGCTTGAAGCATGCCGCTGACGCAATTTGCCGGGTGTGTCCAGCCTGCTCCATGATTTTGAGGAAAGACCTGTCATGGCACTCAGACATCTCAGACGACGACATGTCCAGCGCCATGCCGCACCTCGCTGGAATTGGATAGACAGCGGCACTGACGAGGAAGGCACCACCTGACCAAGCCGAGGTCCGAGTCCGAGGTCCCAGCCTTGGAGCGGTCCCGCGGAGTCCGACCCGCTCGCGCCAACCATCGCAGCGCGGACTCCCCTGCAGCGGCCACCTGAGGCCAGCTGTCAGGCTGAAAGCCCCCCACCAATCCTAACCGCACCTCGCCTCCTCCTCTGTCTGGTGCTGACCACGGCTACGGAGCACTCCCGCTGAAACCAGGAGAGGCCTTGCACATCGTCCGCAAGAACAATCGGGCTTGAAGTCTTTCGGAATACTCTGGGAAGAGTGCACCAGGTCGGCGATAGAAGAGAGCTTTACGGTGTCGAAGACCTGCTGATCGTCAGCGAAGCCCACTGGCTCTGCAGCTTATTCTGCTGCAGCGCATGCACTCCTGCCTCCAGAAACGTTTCTGAATCCATGTCGCCCAGAATCTGCAGAAAAGCGAATTGTAAGATGGCAAGGGGGTACACTACTTGCCGAGTCCCTGTGCTGCAATGCTGACATTTTTCCAGCTGCATAACACTGCTCGTCGGTGTGAGCAGACATAACATATGTAGAAACTCGCGTTTCACCTGAAGAAGCCACCCTTCTCAAAGGACTGCAAGAAGACATCGAAGATCAGCATGCCGCATGGACCCCCGTCGTCTCGTTGGCTCCCATATCCCAGGGAAGGTGGAACCCAAAGCCTTCGTGTTTCACCTTCCCTCATGAGCTGGATGCCTCATAGCAGGGAATGCACCATGCCAAAATCACATGCAGTCGTTGCATCTCAGCCAGCTGCGAAACGCCAGTGCAGGAACGGCACCTTCCCACACACCCTTTGGTACGTTTTTTTGCTGCAGTTCAACCGTTTGTCCGCGCATAGTTGAAGCATCGAACAGCTGACCATCAGTGGTCCAGCCATAGTACTCCACCTGAGCTCAAACACTAGACTCAAGAGTATGTGCAAATTGACAGCTCCAGATTGTACACTATCCAGTCCCCATGGTAGCCTGTGCCCGAAAGAGCAACCAAGAAGCAGTCACCTTTGTAGCTTCCGCTGCAGTTTCCATGCCGTTGCCAGGCCTGATGATCTTCGTTGCTAGGCCAGACCTCAGCTGAGCTCCTCCTGAGGAGCCCGGAGAAACTCTGGAAGGCTGGCCCTGAGCTTCTTAATGCTTAGCTAAAGCCTGCAGCTTTTTGCACTCCGAGGATCTTCAATAACTCTGCATCCGAAGGCGGAGCGTCAAGGTTTTCTGGGATGGGCGGCGGTGCTTGTCCGCGCTTCAGTCCATAGAGAGTGACATCCACCACGATGTCTCCTACAGGCACTCGGATGCGGTGACGGAAAGTGCGGCGACTCGCAGAGCCGCATCGGCCATGCTCGGCCTGCTGGGCCACCTTTCCCCGCCGAGCCGAAGCCGAGGTTGCTGGGGATCCAGAGCCGCGCCGTCTCCCCAACCTCGCAAACGGACGAAGATGGACGAAGGACGAAGCTTCGGAAGCGGAACGGCGGATGCCTTCTACGCCCTACGCAAGTTGGGCGCAAGCTTCTCGCATTCCAAGAAACGTTCATGTTCAGCAATCCTTCGGTCCAGCCACGAATAACTTGGCTCACTGGAAAGGTCAGGCGCCCCCGTTTTCGGCTTGAGTCAAAGATCCGCCCGTCTAATTCGTAACCTTGTCAGGGGCTAGATGCACAAGCACGCCTCCCATCAGCATGAAAGCTTGCACTCGCGGCCTGTGAAGTCAACAGAGACTTTGTCAAAAATGTTGGGCTTTGAACACTTCACCGACTCACAGTCCACAGGCTTCAAGATCTTGTACTTGAGGCCACTCTTTGTGACCTCCATGAAGGAAATTGGCTCTGTGACAGAACTCGGCAACACCCTCGTAATGCGCAAGCACTTAACGTCTTTCACAGCACTCGCCTGCACGTCCGGCGGGGGATTTTTCAAGTCTTTCGGTGCCTCTTCAGCAAAAATTTGACCGTTTGAGAATCGAACTGCGCGACAAGAACTCGGATGAGCGGCCTTCTTCTTTTGCTGTTCGCCGAAAGGATCAAAGCCCTCTGCAGAAGCAGCACCTGGTCTCAGAACCTGGGTCCAACGCAAGGAATCGCACCGGCAGCTGGTGAACTCCCTGACACATCGGCAAGAACTGATTGCCTGTGTGGCAGAGGTCGTCAGTAGAAAGAGCTCTCTGCGATGTGCATTCGGGACTGCCCCACGCAGCAGAAAGCCGATGTCAGAGCCTCGGATTCCAGCAAAGCATGCCTGATTCCTTGTGGCATCCCGGCCGTACTCGTCAAATCAGACGCATTGAACTCCGTGAAAGCCAAGCTTCATCTCCAAGACCTTAGCACTTCCGGCTTAACAGATCGCAGTACAGAACAATGCGGCCACCACCGCGCTCTGAGTGCTTTGAAATGTCCTGGCTCGATCTTGAGGACATGCGGCCTAGCTACGCAACCAGCAGCAGCAGCCAGAAGAGTCTGCTACCCCACTGCGCTGCCATGAAAGCTGCTGACAAGTTAATCGCAACACTTGTGTACCTGCTACTTCTGCCAGCCACTCGACGAAGTTGAGAACAGCACGTTAAATTGGGCAGTCATGGCTCGTAAGCTTGCTTTCTTTGTGTTGCCGCATGTCCCCAGCATACCCCAGCTGATAACACTTGCTTTCCATAAGCCGTAGCCCAAACTGCGTAGCAAGGACACAGCCACACTGCCCGCAAGGTACCTTTCCCAGTACTGCAGGATGACTGGTCTGATCCTCAGCGTCCAGGAGTCCCTGCCTGAACCAGGCAACTTCAAGCCCAGGGAGTTGATACCAGAGTGTGCGCCTCAAGCAGGAGTCCCCGTACTGGATGATGTCTGTAAGCCTGCTCACATCCTGCACAGGGCAGATGCGAGCAGTAAGCATCTTCATGAGCTTCAGCATCACCCGGCAAGAAGTTGCCTTCAGCTTTTCCAAAGTCCGGACGAGCCGAGTCAATCCTCCAACCTGCGCTGTGCCATCCATTGCGAATGGTGCTGATGCTTGCACGGCAGAGCCCAATAGGCATGCAGACAACGTCCTGTCCGACCATTGCAGTTAGCTTTGTCAGATCCTCAACAAAGGCTTGAAAGAACTTGAAAGATCAGACGCCACTTCACAAGATCGCGGCCTGGAACTGCCCACCTCCACTCCGCAATGCGTCCAGAAAATCGCAGACCTGCAATCGCGCAGATATCTAAAGTTCACAACCTCTTCACTTTCAGATGCGTGCCGACGCCTGGGATAGCTGTACAGACCCAAGCGCCTTCAAGACATGCGGTACCTGGAGGGAGCACGAAGCTTTCAGCCCTGACTGTACCCGTTAACGCTGCCGCGTGTTCGGCTCTGCCGTGCCGCTTTTCTGGTGCTTGAGCGCTCCGACACGGTCCAAGTCACTGCTAGACTTGTCGGCACCGTTCGGCACTGCAAGACTACACGTCACATCTGCGAAACTTCACCGAACTTCCACACGCTCCTATTCGCTGCTCTATGGGTGGGCTGATCGGTGGTGAGAAGCTCAGCATGCTCGAGTCTCCTGTCCTGTCGCTCTTTCGCTCACGATGAGCCTGCGGCCCTGTCGCCCGTCGCTGTTCGTCGCGGTTGTCTGATGCATCGCGGCGTCTGCACATCATGATCTTCTTCTCGGATCTCTCGAAACGAACTTCATGAACTTGCCCGAAAGCTGCACACACGGTCAGCTTCCACTCATGTTCGTATTCGCATCAATCCTGCAGGAAAAGCGCAGGATACATCGACATCTACGCTACGCAGATTGCAAGTCCACAAGCCAGGCCTGGATGTCCAGGCCTGACAGAAGTGGACATCGATCAGCATCCATTCACTCTCAGCAGCAAATGCCAGCAAGGGACCGCGTGGGTTGTTGCTGCATCCAATGCCGCAGATCGTCTTCCAGCTCCATGATCTGCAAGTAGGCAAACGAAAAACGCATCAAATGCTGGGCGGATGCGCGGGTGGCTGGGTGAGCAGCTGTCACAGAGTGTCGATGACAGATACCGAACTGTCTGCCGCTCAAATGTCGGGGGGGCGGCCTTGGCTTTAGGATCGGTGAAAAGGAGGGAAGCATAGATACAAGGTTCGAAAATGTTCGAAACACATGTGTGCGTGCGTGCCGGTGCTTGCGTGCCAGTGCGTGCGCTCTTTGCCAGTGCATGCGTGCTAGTAGTGCGTGCGTGCAGTAGTGCGTGCGTGCAGTATAGTGCGTGTGCGCCAATGCGTGCGTGCCAGTATAGTGCGTGCGCGCCAACGCGTGCGTGCCAGTGTTTGCGTGCCAGTGCGTGCGTGCCAGTGCGTGCGTGCGAGTGCTTGGAGGGGCGCTGGTGTGCTAGCAAGTAAGTGTGCAGGTTGTTAGCTATGTTGACCTTAGATTGGTTAGCTATGTGCACTTGTATCAAAAAGATACTGATCTAAGTTGCATGAAGCAGCATGGAAAACATGTGGGTGTGGGTGTGGGTGTGGGTCTGGGTGTGGGTGTGGGTCTGGGTCTGGGTGTGGGTGTGTGTGTGTGTGTGTGTGGGTGTGTGTGTGTGTCGTGTGTCGTGTGTTGTTTGTCGTCTATCAGTACGTCTGTCCATCTGTCTGCAGGTCGGTCGGTCTGTCTGTTTGTCGCTGTCTGTCTGTGCAGAAACTCCACAATGGCACCTTCTTCTCGAGTCGCATCATGGAGCGTTCGTTTGCAGCATCATTCTGCTTCTTCAGTCCTCACGTCAGAACACAATTCATAACGGACCAAGCTTCGATAAACTGCTGATCACCACAACTTCTCAGAGTCACAGGCCTTCGAGGAAGTCGTTCTCTACAATGTAAGGTTCTCCGCCATATGCTGGAGAATGGCTTAGCCTGGAGATATAGGCCAACCCATGGGAGCACTGGTGCAACACTGCCACTATCAGTCTCAATGGATACGCCTTTCGAAGCAGTATGTGCAAACATCGCATTACTTCCTTTGCTCTATGTTGCCAAGCATACAAACAGCTTCCGTGCGACCTTGGATCCAAGTGGCAGCTTCTTCAAATCATTGAGATCGTTGCTTGAGATCCCAGCTGCATCGCAAAGTTCGGCCTCCTGGTCTTCGTCGCTCAGAATCCTGTCGAACTCCGATGCATAGATCTTGCCCTGCTCCCGCTTGTCCATGTCGTTGAACAGCTCGGATCTCAGATTACAATCGCTTGCGATCCACGATCAGAAAGATGAAACTCCGCAAAAGAAGGCCCGGGAAACTTTGAGCACACAGGTTTGCAAGCAGATGATTCGAAAGGCCAGAACTACATGGCCAGAAGCGACAATTCGACGGGACTGGTTTCAGCGATGGGCACTGCACCCTCACTTCAGAAATTATACGGCTTTCTGTGCGGGCAGGGAGCAACTTCACAACAGATCTCTCGGTCTTGTCCTTGTTTTCTGCCTCCTCTTGTTCTCTTCGTCTATCTTCCACGGTGGTGATCATGTTCTCGCTCACCACCGCTGTGAAGATGGCCAAAATGGCCCAGTTTGAGAGAATCATGAAGAGTGCGCATGCAAGCTGCGTCGCTGGGATCGTATCCAATATCTCTTGGACAGAATCGAAATTCCCATTCATGACTAGGAAGAGGATGAACATGGATTCGTAGATTCCTGAAAATGTCCCCTTCAAGTTTGCAGGTGGCCCAGTGTCTGGGAACATCAGCCTCAAAGAGATGTCTGAGACACGATCACACTGAAGCACGCCAAAATACGATGCTGACAGTCCGACAATGTCTCATGCAGCCAGGAACCCCTTCTCGATCAGCAAGACAGCCAGTATTGCGCAGACATAGAGGAGGAGGACTGTGAGCACCAGCACCCAAAACATGCCTTGCATTGCATATGCAACGCCTCAGCTGGCGGGGCTGTGGGAACAGGAGGCAACACGAACAACTGAAATTGTGACCAAGTCTCCAAGCACCAGATTGTACAAAGGGGGCAGGCTGTGGATCAAGCGCGCCAGTCGAAGGATACGGAAAAGTCTGGCCATACGAAGGAGCAGAATGATGTTTCCCTTAGGTTGATGCACAGTGGAAGAGACCGGCATCGTAGCCTGCGAACATCCAGCCGCTTGTAAATATACGGATATACTGTAATCTATGCCCCCTTTCAGTTTGAAAAAATATGTCAATCTGAGACCTGATCGAGAGGTCAGCGAAAGTCGTCGCGAACTCGCTAACCATCAACTTCTAAGCATCCGGCCATATCTTGCGACCCGTCAACCTGACTGTCAACTTGAGGCTCGTCGCCTTGCAGGTTTGCCCCTTGGCCCATGTCAGTCGACAACTCGCGGCCCTGCGGCCTGCGGCCCAGTGCAAGTCTAAAGCCCAACGTGCCTGTCACAGCAGATGCGAAGCTGAAGATGGGGAGCATCCACTGGTCTACCACAGCAGCCTCAGCACAGCAAAGCATGTGCCTCACTGCAATGTAGCAGACGTTCAGCAATGTTCAGCATGAAGCTACACGATTGCAGTTGAAGCCGGGAAGCGACGACAATGATTGTGTCCAGAAGGTTCCACGGTATTTCGCTGCAATCCGTGCAGAATCGCCACTTGTGCAACTTCACACGGACGAGCAGCTCGAAAAGGAAGACAACAAGCAGCGCTTCTTCGAGACAGTTCCAAAGAAAAAAGTCGGGCCAGTCAGTTTGGACTCCGAGCAGCAAGCTGTTCACCAAGATGGCCCCTAATATGAAGCCTGCAGGGCCGCAGGGCTCGAATCAGAAGCCCGAGGATTGTTCTCGTTTCAACTCTTTCTTTCTTTCTGCAGGGCTTAGGTGTCAGCGTTGCCGACCCTCAGGCCTTTGGCCCGCCCCACCACCAATTGCTTTATTGAGTGGTGGGCTTTGGGGTCCCTCAGACCGTTGAACTGAAAACAGAGTGTGCTGTGTCCCCCATGTTGAAAGCCCCCTTGTTCTTAGAACACCTACAACCCCAACGAGCCTCCCGGCCTCATCGCCGCGCCCCTATGGCACCATTATGGGGGCTTGTAACATGCGGAGGAGCCTTCATGCACCCCCATGGTTGGTGGACTTATTGTCCTCCTTGTTGAGGCCGAGGACCAGTAAAAAAAAAAAACAAGCGTTTCAACTCTCTCTCTCTTTCTCTCGCTCTGTGCCTTGAAAACCATCTTCTTCTACCCATTCCAGATCCGATTTCAGAAATGCGCGCACAACTTTCACGAGTCGGATCAAGCGTAGTAGCCGCAAGATTCGAACTGCGCTTATAAAGAAGGAGCTGGTCTGATACATAGCGGCCAGGATCCACTGGTCATAAATACCAGCCTCGGGCATAACCGCTGGCTAGAAACCGAAAAGTCTCATGACCTACGGTGGCTCTGTCACCGAATTGTGCCAAATGACCAGCACGATGAACAGGTCCAACCAGTTCCACCAGACCTGACGAAGCTGATCTCGTGCAACGGTGGGTCACCAGATCTTGAACTATCACGACTTGACGTCAGCGAGTCCACTACACAGCCGGCCCTAAACTGTATGCAGTGAAAGAGGGGTTGAGAGAAAGACAGACAGACACTTCTCGCGGGAGCCTATCTCTGAGGCCTGGCAAGCACTACAGTACTGTACAATGGTCTATCAATCACACTACACTGCTGCTACTCTTCCCTCGGCCGCTGCATTTCTTAGAATGCTGACATTCTGAAATCTCGAGCGTGGCGCATGCATGCTAGACTGCTAGCGTTCAATTTGGACCGTCCGACGACCCTGCCAAAAGGCGGAGTAAGGCACCAGTACCGCACTGTCTTTAAATGAACATGTCTTATTCGGGCAAGTGTTGCGCATGACCGAAGACCCCTCTCACTTGCGATGCCAAGACTCCTCCCGGCATGGTCCTGGGTGGGTGTCAGACTCCAAAGTCGATTGGACATGCAATGCCTAGCATCCATTCTGCGACATGTGGCGGCCGTCCTAGAAGCAGATCTTTCTGCAAGAGAAGACCCCTCAGCACCAACTCCACGATGTAGAAGATCAGGAAAGCCTGGAAACAGACACTTCCTTGCTACTGCTGAGGTTTGCAGAGAGCAGGGTTGCTGGCCTGGTCAACCCAGAAGAAAAGGTCCTTGTACCTCGGAAAAGCACACGAACCCGATGCGCCGTAACAATATGTAACAACCGTGAGGGAGCCCGAGAAGCATTTCCCTCTTGGGGCCAGGGTTTCGGGATTTGCACAGTCTTAATCAAGCACTGCTAGGTCCAAGCGACCGTTCATCCGTCATCTCCTTGACCAAAACTGCGACATTGAGGACAACGACTGCGGTGGAGACCACTGTGAAGACGTTTCCCTCCACATATCGGAGGCACCTGCAAGAAGCTTGGACAAGATTGAATATCGTCTGAAACCTTGCTACAGCATTGCGGCTTCTCTGGGTCAGCTCGTGTTTACTCATCTCGCCTAGGCCCGTGAAATGACCGAGCTTGTTCTTGACCAAGCTCGAGTCGATCCAGCTTTCGCAGCTCGTCCTCAAGCTTCTCCTGTCTGAAGGAGCTGTCACGCAACATGCCGCACCCATTCAAAGTACAAGTTCCTGTACATCATAGTCTCCAGCATCATCCCGGCGACATGTGAAATTCCGTTTTCATACACAGAGACAGCGTAAGGAGGGCTCTCTGACAGCACGGTGGCTGAAGATGGCTGGTTCAATCACATTTGTTTGTTGTTCGGTTTAAATTCGGCAAGCACACACAGCAGCGAAGGACCTTCAGAAATCCATTGGTGAGGACTTGAAACATTGCCAGATCGGAATTCTAGCTAAAAACTTACCGCCAGGGTCCCAGGGTCTGTCTCCAAGAACGTTTTCGGTCTCACAGGAACTGAACCGATACCTCCAGCAGTCTCGGCCTCTCGGCAGCCTAAAATCGAGGTCAAGCAAAGCACGATTGGTTCTCTTCTTAGCTTGCAGCGACCAGAACCTCAATGATGCCGAAGCATTGTCCGCCTGCAGCTCTTGGATGTCTTTCTCCAGACGGCCCTTTCGCATCTGATACTTCTCTTCGATGCGCTCCAAGTGCTCGCGCTCCTCTGCCTCGCATGACCAACAACGAAGAATCAGGGCACAACACTCCGGTGATGCTTCACGTTAGCAGATTTGAAGGCTTTGGCTTGCTTTTGCATACCCTTCAAGCGGTGCTGCGAGGGTGTAAAGCAAATTCGACGCGTCTCCTCCCGCGCTGAAAGATTACATGGAACCTCCCCAACGCAGAAACAGCGATGCTCCATTCAGATCCAGAAAATTTCTCGACTCGCAATCGCAGACGGCAAACCTCTTCTTGTTTATACTTCTTTTTGAGGCTTCTCAAGTCCTGCAGAGCATGGCAAACGTCACAGAGCAGAAACCCCAGCCTCCCACCCGCAAGTAGGCTGCACTGCTCGGTAGTCCGATACTCCTGCACCTTCTGTCGAGAACGGTCATTCCCATCAGAGTCGCCATCCAGGGAATCAGAATCACTATCTGGAAAGCCTGGGCACACTGCCGGAACGTATCACAAGCCAAGTGGGCAGGAGGAGGGGATCGCGACGGATTCAAGCCCGGGTAGTGAGAAGAAGAAACAACCCCGCTCTCGTCGACAAGGCTTGATTCGTGGATGCACGACGTGCTCAGCAAGAGTCCAAGAACTGCCGTGGAAAGCTTACTGGTCGAGGATCACAGCGTGCTGCCACTGGCCCTTTCCAGATCAGAATTTCGAGAGTTTCCACACCCACACCTGTGGTAGTTCCTGACACAGTTGTGCGAGACGGCCGCAGGCATCCGCAGGCTACAAAAGCTGGTCAGGCAGTCCTGGAATCTCGAGACGAGGTCTCTGATTCGGAATCAGATCGACAGCTCATGGCGACTACAGCCGAATTGAGCGGCTGGCGGCGCGGCTCTGTCAGCGTGGCCAGCTTTATATCGCATAGAACACAGCTCGACAAAGAAGAAAAGCCTTCAACCAGTCTACTTGGCTAATGCTTGCTCGCCGCTGTGACCTGCCTCAGAGCCATACGTGCTGCTGGCACTGCCATCGACACAGAAACACGACAGCAGCGGCCGACGGCTTGAGGCATCGCACCCCACCGGCGTCGGCGACAACATTCAGCAGCTGAGAGACAGGAATCCTCACGCAATGCTACGTGGCTAAATGTACAGCTGCCGTGACTGGGTGGGACCCTTGGTCTGGACCTGGGAAGGGGACCCGCTGCGCACCCGTGCATGCCTGTAAACAATAGTGTATGCCGGACCTACAGGAGCCGGAAACCAACCCAAGAAAATCTGAACGACAACCGCCGCAAGCCCGAACAAAACCGCCTTGCACGACAATGATCTTCACTCAGCTCTACAGATGCTTGAGTCAGAACATCTTCGAGAATGCTGGCATTACTGGCATTGCGATCCTGCCGCCAGTCTGCTCGACCAGGGCATCGAACGCCGCGTCGCGTCTATCACCGGCCTGCGAGACTCAGTTACGGTCCCACGCTTCAACAAACATGCTTGTGGCTGCTTGTGGCCTTTGGGCTCCTGAAAAGCTCGGCATTCTTTTCCATAAAGGCCTCCGGGGACAATTCTACGAATGTACCAACTCTGCAGACTGTTGGAGATTGAAAGGAATGTTCGACAGGCCTGTGGTCCACCCCATCTCCGCTCAACCAGATCCTTCAGAAAATGAGTCTAGATCTTGGGGGCTTCGAGAAGCTGAGCCCGTCCATAAGCTCGTTCCAGGCATGTTGTCCGGAGAGGCTTGCCATGATCTTTGGGCAAGTCCCCCCGAGCTTGGCTGGTGCGGATCTCCGACTTAGTGAGTTAGATGCCACAGCTAATCGAGCACTCCCAGTGGCTTGTCATGACGGCTTTTGAGCATCGACTGACGGTTCCAGTTTGGAAAGCCCTACTTTGAGCAGACAAGTTCAGCCCTCTGGACTTCACGAAGTGCCCAACCCCTTCAGCGCAGCAAGAAGAGCGTGTGCCAAGGGCATTTCGACATGCTGCATGAAGCTCACATGTGCTCACATTAGCTTGTAGAACTGCCGGCTGCTGGCACGTGTGGGCAAGTGACCAAAATTGCGGTTGTGGGCTTGGCCGGACGGGAGGGATGATAATGGAACCCTCAGCCACAGCAGCATCCTAAAGGACGGATCTACAAAATCTGATGCTTCTGATCAGACCCACAAGCGGTATCCGGTTCGACACCGCTCCTTCCGAATGGCGGGCATCGTTAGCAAATCCTCCAGTGCCAGGTTTTCGGACTGGGTCACGGACTTTGATTGATTAAACAATTAGCAGCATTGATGAGCCGAATTGGTCAACAGTCTTTGTCGGGCCTCAAATTTCGGCCAGGCATCACCTCAGATGCACACGCAGGCACAACAGCGTCTCACACCGTTTCACTTCGGACTTGAACCTGGGTAACCGGATCGAATCTCCTTGATGGGCAGGTCTGAGCTGGCATAATGTAATGCACCTATTTTCGAGTCGATGCATCGGCAATAAGCTACTATCCTCGTGTTACACAAGGAAGGGGGGTCCAGTGCACATCCACTTCCCGGTCCGGTCCAGTGCGCACGCTTTCGGGTTCAGGGTTAAGGGTTTTGGGGGATTGGTGGTATGGCTTTTTGGGGTTTAGGGTTGAGGTTTTGGTGGCGTTTTGGTCCGAGCCTACACGAGGCAACGCGAGGGGAAGTACTGATCGGGCCGTTCCTTTTTCGCATTCTAGTTTTTCGTCAGAAGAGGGGTTCAACATCGCCCGGCAGCGACTGCCGGTCAGTTGCGAGGAACTCTGTCCATCACTGCGAGGCTCGCTTCAGAACTTCCTGGTGCGACCTTTTGGGGCAAAGGTTTTTACTGAGGAAGGCTTGTTGTCCCGAGCGTATGTTGTGCAAAACGGTGGCACATCCACAGGCCGCAAAGGCCTCTTAAAGCTTCGGCATGCTGATTGGTTTGCTCTGAGTCGGTGGGCAACTGGGCCGCGGATGAAACTGCCAAGGCAGCGGAGAAGTCTGACTTGAGCTGTGTGCCGGAGTATACCGAGGAGATCAATGCCTGGTACCAGCCACAAGAAACTTACTTCTTCATGTTCTGTCAACACCTGCTTGAAACCACCAAGGCTGTCACGCAGCTCCGCAAGATTGCCAAACCGAGTACGGCTGAAAAGCAGAAAGACGATGGGACTATGCCCACGGCGCAACGTCAGTGGCTGCCATCATAGGCAGAGAGCTGATGTGTGTGGATGTGCCTTGTCGCCTTGGGCCTCGGAGGCAACAACTAGACTGGCCTGAGTGATTCTTGACGACGATAATGGAGTGGGCTCGCTTGCTACAGCGGCCTGTACACCGTCATCCTCCCGAATACTATCACCTGTCTGGTATTACTTTTCTTGAGCTGATGGTCAACTATGTCATTTGTTCTAAGCGACTGCCACCTGCTCGTACAACCTTACAGGGTCAACAATGCCATGTTGATCCGCTACAAGAAAAGGGCATACTTCATCTTGTAGTCCTTCGAGAGAGCTTGGTCAGTTTCCGGCCATCAGCTCGACGTCACCGTTTGCATTGTCTGGGGTGCTCGGAGAAGTGAACGGGCGAAAGGGATTGCTGGCAAGACCCATTCTGCAGTGGCCGGAGAAGAAGACATGTAGTGTGTTTTGCGAACTCTTGCAGAACCGCTGTGGAGAGGCGTTAAGAACCGTTTCGCTGAAACAGTGAAAATGTGCGTGCGACGACAGCGGGCTTGCCCCTCCTAATACAGGACGCCAGGCTGGCCTGAGTCCTCCTTCGTCAACCCGTTAAAGGTTGAGGGTTTTGGTATAGAGTTTAGGGTTTAGGGTTTAAGGTTTAGGGTTCAGGGTTCTTGGTTCAGGGCTTAGGTTTGAAGGGTTGTGCCTTTGAGGGTTTTGGTTTAGTTCAGCAGCTCCGGATCGAACAGTTTCTAGTGGAGCTCCTCTGTAGGATTTGGAAAATACCCACCGCCCAAAGAATCCCATGAAATTAGAAAATACAAAGTTTCATTATTATCATCCCCACAGTTCAGACCAATCTTATCAGCGCTATCTGTTACCTTAGAGACTGAAAATTGAACCTTGAAGCCTGAAACCCTAAAGCTTGAAACCCTGAAGCATAAGACCGTGAAGCCCGAAACTCTTGACCCTGGAACCCTAAAGCCTGAAACCCAAAAGCCTGAAACCCTGAAATATGAAACCAGAAAGCCTGAAACCCTGAAGCGTGAAACCAGAAAGCCTGAAACATCAAACCCGGAGCGGTAAAGCCTGAAACCCTAAAACTTGAAACCCTAAGCCCTGAAACCTTAAAGCCTGAAACCCTAAAGC